CTAACTGTCTGGTCGTAATTGGAGACCAATGGTTTATGTATCCCAGGCACTTGTGAAGACTGAATGTTGGCTTGCTCCAACAGTGAAACAGACTTTAGTCTTGGTCCAGGAGAATTAAGAGTTTTAGGTCTTTATTTATGGAAGGTCATTATTAGCTGAAACTGGCCATAAAGRATTTATGCTTGCTATAAAAGGGGCTGGTAAACATTTTGTCACAAGATTAAAGAGCATTGTTTTCAACCACATTGTCTAGACCATTTGACAAAAATGCAGAGAAGGCTGCAGCCGAGTTTATGTACATGTCAATCGTATAAAATAAACAAAAACAAACTAAAATATCTGTCTAGTTTCAGGCAAAATGTGAACACCAGTTACCAAAGCTATGCTGAGATTCAACAGAAAAGCAAGTGMAAGTATGAACAGTGGGCTGGGGCACTTTGTTCTTGGTTACTCAGAGCAAGAAAGGGGGAGATGGGAGTTCTCAAGCACATATTTTGTCTTTAGGTGTAGGATGACATTCCATACAGTTTTTTACAGGAAAATATTTTAAAAGTACAAATATCTGTCATGTAAGGATTGAAATCTCAAGAAGAATGTTGCAGGCTGTTGTAAACTACTGGTACTAATAATTATTACTCTCTGCTGAGAGTTGTCACATACACCAAAAATGCTGTGAAAGGCTCTGTATTTTTCCTGAGAAAGTTACAGTAGTCATTGAGTTTGCTTGTTTACTTTTACTGGGTTAAAAAAACCCTGAACAATACTGAAGAATTCTTCCAAGAATATTACTATTTTTTGCCTCAGGCATCTTCCTAGACTGTCCTAGAAAGTAYTACAGCTAAACAGGTGATCATGAACATCAAACCTGATCTCACTAAAGGGAATATAGCTGAAATAGTTCTGTCTTACAGCAGATGCAGTTCTCTGGGTTGTTTTATGCTGTTCAKGTTTTGTTATGTACCTGCTAGATCCTATTTCTCCTCATCTAAAGGGGCAATTAACATGTTTTCAAAGCAATAAAGTGGAGTCAGATACCAGAGTTGTTGCATTCCAGAATGGATCCAGTGTTGCCTGGGCTTTCCACCAATAATTTCTATCCTAAAAGAAGTCGTGCTGTTAGGAATTGGTATCAGRGTGGCCACAGACCTGTAAAGAGAGTAACAGCTATGAGGTGTTGTGGTCTAATCCCAGCTGAAACCAGGACAAAGATGTGGTGTTGAATAGAGTAAACCAAAGACTTTAAAGTGTTTATTCCATATGGTTGGGCACTGTGAAACCACCTGGTGGAACACTGCAATGGGGCTCAGCGTGCTGCTTTTTGGAGGCAGGGATATAAGCAGCATCCTCTTCCCAAAGGAACACAGGCAGGCAGGTGACATCCTGTGCAGGAGGGAGGGGAGGGATGCTGTATTGGTTCTGTTTGGCACGGATATCTCGTGCAGTGGTAACTGTACCACACTGAGGCAGCACAAYAGGAACTGTTACATTTTCTCCTCCCTAAAAATTGTGAGCTGCAGAYCAAYACACCATAACATCTCAGGGACCCTRCATTCCCGGTAYATTCTAGTTAGCACTACWGATGTYTTTACAATTACATATTGTGCTAATTTAACTGTTAATTCTAGCTTGTGTTGTGTTTGGCTAGGAAAGGAAARTATGTGTAGGGCTGTGCTTTTGAGCTTCTGGCCTGAGCCATCTGGAACAGGTTATTGCATCATTCAYGTTATGAGATGGAAATTACAATTCAGACACTGAACAAAGCAGATCTCAACTGATAATCTAAGGTAGTCTTTGAAAAATTAAAGGGAACCTGTCCCAAGCACCAGGAGTTTGCAACTGAGATTCTTTCYTGGGAGGTGGAAGAAATGAGCCCTACTCCTTTTCAGGCAGAATCAGGGTTTGAGACCATGTTTCCTGTGTGCTCARTGCTATTTATATGGCAGGCGGGTGAGATATGTGTATGTCAAACTGCTGCCTGTTGTGTTACATCAGTATGAAAAATATCAAAAGCTTGCTTATTTGTCCATCTCCAAGAACACTTAGATCAATCTCCAGTCAGGCAAAAGCTCAACTTGTGAATTTCACAGAGCTTAGATGTTATCAAAGTGCAATTGTTCCTGCAAGTGCCCGGCAGTTTTGCACTGAGTATTTTACCATTTTTTGCTGGTGAAAACATTTGCTTCCATAAAATTGGGTAGGAGCAAAAGAAWAGTTTTTAACATTTAAAGCTTGGACATATGGGGCCTTAAAGTGTCAGTTATTGGAAAATTCCTTTAATGATTAGGTCTGTGTGGCTGGGTAAAAGATTTCTATGATCTGGCATGTAGAATGACTTTGGGCTCACCAATCTTCCRCCATACAGACTTGTGTGGTTTGATTCTTCTCACAGTTTGACAATGTTCTTTAAAATGTTCAGAGTGGGAGAACTTTAAAAAATGACAAGAACATCCGAGAAGGGTGATTGACAGATGTGGTTCTGGAGAAATGTAAAAACGAAATCAGAGTTTAAAAAGGAGATGAAATGCTGTGAAACTTAAGAGGATGTGGTCTTGTTTCTGTGAGGAAGATTTTCTGTTCAGGGGTGCTGAGTGTAATTAGCTTCTCTCAAGTTCCCTGACCTATTTACAGTTTTTGTCRTAGCATTAAGGATCTGTCCGATTATGCTCTCCAGTGCTGAGGGCTCCTGTTCATCCACTGCTGTGCATTATCTGCAGGAGCATGGCTCAATTCATGTGTGCAGCAGTCTCATCCACGGAGAGTGGAGTTAAAGTTACACAACACAGTTTATGTGCCCCTTATGATTATATATTATACAATTTTCAAAATCCAAGTCTTAATTAGAGACATAATTTCAACCCTAGCTATGCACACMGCAAACTTTGAAGAACATAGTTCTATACTGGGGACAGTTCTGCACCTCCTCATGAAGACAAAGGAAATGTCAAGCTAATATAAATAAAGAAATGGATTTTATAACACAGAGGGATATTTGAGACCACTGAAGTGAGAGCACTGCTACACATGAGGTTTAGCCAACATCTTAAGCATAAATGCTGAAGGTGTCAGCACAAGATGTTGAAAGATACATTGAGTTACACCACAAATTCCTTCCTTTATGCAACTCTTCATACTAAAGGGAGTTGTGAGAAGGCTGTGGCTGCATCTCATTGTTTTGTGACTGATGGTAGTTACAGAAAGGTACTGCAGAAATTCCACTTAGCCACAGCATCAAATCCTTTTATTTTGGAAAAAAAAAACAGTCATCATGCTGTAAACTAGCCCAGGTTGTGGTTTGGTACACTTTTTATACTCTGGTTTTTATCCACTCCAGCTGTCAGATGGAGACAGGAAAAATCAAAACATTTGTACAGTATTTCTTCTTAAGGGAGCCCCTTAGGTGTTGAGATCTGGATTCACCCCCTGTCTCCGGGGTTGGAGCACCTCTGCCAGTTGGCTGATGGATGAGGACTCTGAGACAATTATTTGGGAGCAGACTGGTGCTGCACTCATACAGTGATTCTGGCATGTGTGCAATGATTTTACCATGTGATTGTATTAAAATTCAGTGGATTAGCAAGTGAAGTATCATCTGATGAAGCAAGCTTTTCATCCCCACAGCTGGTTGCACAGAGCATTTTCTTGCTGTAAAGCTGTTTCTCATTGTTTCRGTAGATTTTCACACTTGTAATATATAGTAAGCACTGCTGCTCTTAGATCTGTGAGCTCTCCAGTTATTAAGTGTATTGAGAAACTCTGGTGTTATGGGGCAATGGGAATACTCACTGTTAACCRTTTGCCACAATGAAAATTTCCCTGGTCTTTGCTTTCTGTCTTCTCTTGCCTGTTTTCTGACCCATGGCAAAACTCCTTCACAACATACTCAGCAGCTTGCTCATAAGTCCCTTGCGAGAGTTTTTTTTAGGCTTTTGGGAARTTTATTTAAAATAAGTAAATTGGTCTTGTTTACTTGCAAATGTATATACACTGAACAATTCTAGGTGAATGTTTAACTTTGCATGCAGTKCAAGTAATGCAAGCCAGTTACTGAGGGACAAACTGTCAGAGAGCCCAGAGCCTCTGGTGCTGTCATTTTTGAAAGGTAATTTGGATGATTACAGCCAGTTAATGAGGTACAGAGTCTTGAGCTTCCCATTGGCTCCGATACAACTTGTGGGGGCTCAGCAACCCTGAAGCAGCTCAGTCTTTTTAYCTCAAACTGAATGTCGATGCTTAGAGGCTGGTTTTATTAATGTCTGTTATTTCAACTCTGCTTCTGTTTCTCAATCTGTTACACAGACGTGTATGATAATTGTTTCAGGTTCCTAAGAAAGAAAGTGTTTTCTCAACAGAAATTCAAAATAGTTGTTTAATGTCCATGTCTGTGTTTAATTTCACTGTTCATCTTCRGATCTACTATAATCTTTGCTGCATCTGATTGCTTACCTTTCACATCCATAAATGTTCTGCTTGACCTACTAAAGCTCTGCCTGTGGCAAAGTTGCAAAACACCTGAAAAAGTAATTTATTTCCTTCCTTTTCAATCATAACTGGAGATCTGCAAGTTATGCTTTTCCTGAGAAATATTTCATATCATAAACTGCTCCCTTAAGCATAGGGTCAGTTTTAAAAGGGCCAGTGTTTGCAGACAAGTCATTTGTTTTCCTTTTAACCTTTAATTTGTTTATTCCTGTTTTTAAATAGTCCCCAAGCAATATAGTTCCTGTAGCTGTGATCATCATGAGTTTGAGTTATTCACCTCCCAGAGGGTCAGACCTTTCATCAGTATGCCATTGGCACAGAGCAGCGAGTGTTGCATATTCATTGTCCAGGACACCAGCTAGAGGGCCTCCAAAAAAGCCTGACTTTTTTTTTGTTCTCAAAGCAAGGAAAACAATCCCTTCCCTTCYCCAGTCCCTTGATAAGGGTTTCTGTCCAATAACGGTGCTCTCTGCTCTGAGGCACATTTAACTGTGAAGTTTGCAGCGGGAGAGGCTTTCCTTCAAGCTGTTAGTGTTTTATCCTGGCAGGCTCCTCGAGGTTGTTGTGAGGAGTCTAGCCAGTTGGTGAGCTTTGTAATCTAAACCAGCTGTCCCAGGCTGAGGCCCCCATTTGCATTGTTTAACATACTTAGAAAATGAAGTGTTCATTTTTAACATTCCTCCTCCAATTGGTTTAATGCTGAATTACAGAAGAGAACTAAGCAAAACCAGGTGCTTGCTCTGTATTCTCTCCAGTGTCTGAGGAGGTACAGACGGCTCCCGATCTTCTCCATTACTTGCCCTTTCATTCTTTGGACTATATATGACAGAGGAACTGAACTGCTAGCAGAGGGTAATGTTTGGAAAACTTTCTAGTTATTCATCAGCACAGACTCTGTTTTTTTTCCACCTTTCCCCAACGGTTTTGGACATGCAAGGATTAAGAAGGTAAGTGGTATGCATGAAACTTCTTTACTTACTGATGGGAAACCTACTTGTGGAAAATAGTTGTGGCAGGGACACGTTATGCCAATCCACTTGCTAAAGCCATTTGCACAGGGACAGGATCTCAATGGTCAGAGGTGGGGAAAGACGATCTGCCTGTTATTAAAGCTGTGCTGTCTCTGACAAGTTCCTTCTCGATCTGTGCTTATACTCTGCGCATCTGCGGGAGTGCTGAACTGCGGCAGCAACGATCCCACTGGCCACAGTGATTGATTGGAGCTAATTAGTTATTATTGCAGAAGTTAATTACTAGTTTAAAGTATTTCGCCTGCTGGGCAAGCTGCTGTGACCAGCTGCATACAGTGTTGATAAGTTGTGCTGCGTGTCTGTGAATAATTCTTGAGGGGATTTTAGATCTAAAGTAATGAGCAAATTGAGATCATGGGTACAGACGGAACATGTTTGAGGCAGTAAGGTCACCCCCCACCAAGAGGAAAGAATACATCCTCTTGTAGCAATGGAAACTAAAGGCTGTCTAAAAACGTTTYAGTTTTGTCTGACGGTTTTATAGGGGATTTTATTATCGTGCACTGTCCTACAGCAATGTGCAGCGTAGCCCAGTTGCTGAGTATATCAGGCTTTTTCTACAACCTGTTGTATTCCCTCCCAGTGCTATTCTCACAATATGCAAAGTGAGTCTGCAGTCTTTATAGCAGTGCACGTTTTAAAATCTCTTCAAAAAGATTAGAGGAATCAATAAATTAAGTGCAAGCCTAAATGAATGAAATTGTAGTTTGAATGCTTTACATTGAACTCTGTGCAGAGTTTGCCTTTCCTTGTCACTCAAAAGCTGCCAGCAAGTACAWTCTGTCTCCACAGCACTACGAACAACTATTTAAGGGTTTATGTTTACTTTTCAGAATTTGTCCCTGTCTCCTCATTTAAAACAGATTTGTTCTGATGTGTCAGTCATTGTGTGTGGTTTTGTCTGATACATTTGTAGGTCTTCCTCAGCAGCTCAGTTTGCACTGGAAATCAGAGACAGTTTTAAGAGAGAAAGTTGGCAGCTCACATGGGTAGCCGAACTAAGGCTACCTAAAATATCCCCTGCTTCCTGTACTGGTTTTGTGGGAATGTATTGTATTCAATTGCCATTCAGAATTACCAAGATAAGCAAGGTGTGGGTCTAATGGTACTGGGAAGCTTTATATAAGGCACCGGCAAAACACTGAAATCCGCAGAACTGAGAAAAAAAGAATTTCTGACTGTCCTTTCATGGTTTTCTATCTGTTAGTGAATATTCAGAGGTGAGGGTTACTTGACCATAATTTTAATGCTCCTGGTAAGGAGCTCCAAAAATAGCTGTAGGGCTCTGTTAGTGAGAGATTCTCTTCTTTCAGTTGTGCTGGAGACAGACCCAGCAGGGAGCACTCGAAGTGCAGCTGACACACCTGGGCAAGGCTGAAGATAACAGCCATTAGCTGGCAACCTGGCACAGCCTGTGTCCTTCCAGAGCAGGGTATTACTCCAGACTGAGTCAAGGGACAGAATCTGGCCCCAAGAACACGGATCCATCTCAGATAGAGCCTCCRGGGATGAAATGCGGTTTAGCGGTTGGAGCCACTGGCTTGGATTCAGGACCTCCTGCGTGACACGTCTGCAGCCCTGCCAATGCATCGCCCTGGGAGCTTAGGCAGGGCCTTGCTCTGGCTTACCCATCTGTAAAATGTGCACAGTGTGCAAGAAAAGCTTTCATTTTCCCAAAAGAAAGGTGTCAGAAAGGGATAAAACTACTTTATTGAACATTGCACACTTGTTCATTTAACAGCTGCTGCATGAGGTGTCATAAAAATTCAATTAGTTCATAGGCATGTACAGTCTGGTTTCAATCCCAGTTGCATAAAACCATAGTCTTGTCAGAGGCACTGACTCTGAGACCTGAAGCTGGCCCACAGTTGCATCACTCCTTCTCCAGAGGCCAAATTCATGGTAGCAAAACTGGAATACACTGAAGTGTCTCTAGAAATTAATTTGTCCATGCGTATTTAATTCTATGTAATGARCCTGGATATCAGAAGGTTTTCAGCTATTTTCTATGCACATTACAGGATACTGACTGCTTTCACACTGGCTGTCTGCCTTTCAAGCCCTGGAAAAGCACAGGTGAGAGGTGCATGCAGAGATGTACTAAAGTGCTATATGGCATGAAACTTCACTGGTTAACAGGTGGATAGGAAGCTCTGTGGCGTGGGGTTTACATGAAAAGGAAGTTGTGTGGTCTAAGGGTTTAGAGGGGAGAACTTGGAGCCAGCAGGTTCTGGAGTTGAACATGGACTGAGCTTATTGACTCATCCTTGCCAGCTCAGCAAAATATCCCTGTAGAAACCTGGACCTCACTGAAAACCTAATTCCGCTTTTAAACTGAACACTTGTGGAAGAGGAAATAAGAAAAACCACCCCATGAGACCAGAGACCACTCATGTCTGTTGTGGGAAGCATCCACACTTGGAAAATTCACTCATGCAAATATACATTTTCTGTATATAGCAGGAGCATGTCTTAATACTGTTTAATTTTGGACTGAGTGATCCTGAATGACTGTATCCCAGTTTTCATTTTCACTAAGCGCAAACCCATTTCTGTTCAAGTGGGAGCATGGGAGGAAAGCAGTCCAGTTCTTGAAACAGCAGAATCATTAGTTCTTTGTGTGCTTGGGTTCCAAATTTCTTTAAATCAAGAAAAACTGTTCCTGAAGGCACGTTTTTTGAATTTCTAGTTGATAGTCCATATATATTCCATGTCCAGAGCTGTGTTTCTAAATACCTTTGCCAGAAATACAGTTGTTTTTCATGTATTATATTGAAAATTTCCTGCAAATGGCATGCTTATTGATATTGTTGTGAATATTGGATATGTATGGGAAATGCTTTTCATGCCCCTGGAGAATTTTTGAGATGTCTTCAAGGGTTTGTTTTTATAATTCAAAAAATATTGTTTCCATTATAATTTTTATAAAAAGTCGTGTAATGCAAATTGATTTTTGAAGTCTAAGCAAAAAGCAACTTGATGCTGAAACGACAGCAATAAGTTCTTTCTGAAGATACTGGAACTGGTAATTTCGACAATATTGGAATCTTTTTTAGAATGAAGTTCTAGAAAGTAGTTGAAACCAGTTCTACAGTAGTTGCAGTGTTTCTGAATCATCATTTATTGTCCAAACCAAAATCCAAACCAAAATAATTTTGTTAAAAAACTATCTCAGCTTTTCCAGCTAACCTAGGTGAGTTGTATGTACCACATACAAAAAGGAGAACAGATGGTAGAGTAGGTACATTCTTTAAAACGTGAGGSTGATTACACATTCTCCCATTAGAATATCTTGGTGTTCCACAACATAATGCCAAAACATCTTGGAATGCCAAAATAAATGAAGGCATAATTCCTCCATGCCTGTCTGACACTTGCAGCAATGATTTTATGTATTCATACATGCAAGAGGCATGTGCAGCCCACACAGTGCCATGTGTTTCACTTCATGTCCTGTCCCTTGTTCCTGCAATGGCCCATTCCCACTGACACACCCCCTCTAACCCCTTGTCTCCCATCCACAATTTACTACTTTTCTAAACATCAACTAAGTACTTTACTCTTCCACTCATTTATTTCATGAAGTCCAAAAATAAGTGTCTTTATCATTAAGAAACAACAAAACAGGAAGCATCTTGAACACATTCCATCCCTCTGCCCCCTGTTTGCTTCAGTGATTCCTGTTTCCTGGATATCTCTTGTTCGCATTCCTTTATACAACCTATTTATTGGAAGATCCTGTGCTTGTGTCAATTGCTTGGGCTCTTGCTAATTAGCTGGAAGCCCAGTCAAAAGCTAGGAAGAGCAGGGAATCATTTTGACAGGCTTTGAGACCGTCATCACCTGGACTGCCACCGGTTTAGAAATGCTGAGGTCACTGGGGAGGCGCTGAAGACTCAAGGCTGCAGCCCCTATAATGACCAGCACCACAGAATAGGAAGGGACAATGCTTCCAGCAACCTTGCATGCCTAAAATGGGCTGTCTAAAGATTTATCCTCTAAAAATTACAAGGTTTGGTGTATAGGAAGAGCCTTCTGTTTATTAAGCTTGTGCTTCAACTGCGGCTCCAGATCAGCCATGGCTGAATGGGCTGCCCRGGAGCTTTGGAGCCCATGAGAGGGGTAACAAATACCTGTGAGAGGAGCCCCTCTGTGCTGGCAAACACGAGAGCCTGTGGGAGGCTGTTAYTGTGTGCCAAGAGCTCGTAACACATTGTTCATTGACCCCTGGGCAGAGGAACTGCCTGGCACTGCCACCACCTGAGGGTGCCACTCCTGAGCTCAGGGGCTGSAACACAAGCTGAGGGCTCAGGTTCATGCTGTGCTGGCTGTCCTTTGGGGAAGGGACTTCATTTTGAGGTACTGTATCATGCTGAACAATTGTAYTAATCATGATAATCCAGATGAGCATTTGACTCTGCAAACCTCTTATTTCTCAGTCACTGAGTTTCCTTTTTTCTCTCATTTTAGCAGCAATGCACTAATGGGTTTGACCTGGACCGTGCCTCTGGGCAATGCTTAGGTAGGACTTTAATTAAATCAATACATTTAAATTTGGGTTCAGAATTTATTGAGTTAACATTGTGACACTCTTAGTATGTTTTAGTTGAAAAGCTCTTGCTGTGTGACAAATATGTGTTTATATACATGCATACACCAAAAATATGTGTATATATAAATATGTGTGTATGTCTTTACATTACACTAATCTGAGGCATTGCTGAAATTCTAACAGGCTGTCAGGACTACTATGATGATGCATTTTGATAGGAGCCCAGTCAACAACGATGCATTTCTAGTTGCCAAAGGACAAGGGMTGTTTGCCCTCCTTCTCTTCCTCCTGCAAACCCAGGATTTGCTGTCTTTGCTGCCTGTCTGCACCTGCAGGCTCAGATAAAGTTTTCCATTCTCAACATTGAAACTCCAAGTAAATTGGAGTGTAGGGAAATCTGCACTTTGCCCAGCATAATCTTTTTTATCAGTGACATTCAGTCTCCAGGGCAGCATCTTCTACAGGCAACACAGTCACTCAAATAGAAAAGAGCAAATCCTGCAGCAGATTGTTTGCCCTGTCACAGCCTACTGCCTCTGTGGCCCAAGAACCAGGGGAATGCTCAGAGTGGCTAAACCAGTTGTATCTTTCTAAATTTAACTCAGCAACAGTCTCAGTGAAAGCAAGAAAGAGCCTGAACTGTGTCCCCAGATCTGAACATCCCTAACTTTTTCTGTGGGAGGGAACTCGAGAATTCCAAAGCAGGATCCAAGTTTCACAGCTGGGCAGACCAAACCACCGGTTTTTGAAATCCTGATCTGTATGTTGTGGTTTGGACAGACCCTCCAGCAGGAACAGGCAGTAGCATGCTGCAGCCATGTGTAAATCAGTGTTTAAATCAAACTTCTATGGAACAGCAAGGCAGGCCTCGTCCTCTCCCTCAATCCTCTGATAGTGAAGTAAAACAAGTAGATCACAGGAAACACTGAATATATGGTACAACCTAACCTCAAAGTGAAACTCTACAAGCAAGTATTAGCCTTTTTGATAGAGAATATCAATTTTATTTGCAATTTTTTGYGAAAAATATGTTACATATTTTTTGATCGGCCCCACTAAGGAGCAATCACTCTTTTAACTTGTGTGATTTCATTCCAGATATCGATGAATGTCGGACAATTCCTGAGGCCTGCAGAGGAGACATGGTGTGTGTGAACCAGAACGGTGGCTATTTATGCGTCCCCCGAACAAACCCCGTGTACCGATCGCCGTACCTGAGTCCTTATTCCAACCCCTATCCGCCGCCGCCAGCGCCAGGCCCCGTTCCCAACTACCCCACTGTCACCAGGCCTCTGATTTGCCGCTTTGGTTTCCAGTTGGATGAAAACAATCAGTGTGCTGGTAAGCAGTACAAATCTTTCTTCTATATCATATTTTTGTTTTTATTAAAGCGTGTCTGGCTTTGCAGAAACAATTGTCCTGCAGTTTCCTTCATCTGTCACAGCAGTCAAGTCCAGTAATTTGAAGTACAATTTTTTTAAGGATACGAGCTCTATTTTTCATATCATCATTATTCGGTACAAACTAAGATACAATTTAGTCCTATTATTTAATCAGGAGAGCCACTTTCATGGAAGAAGGAATGTTTTTGTGAGATAAACAACCATCTGATGGCAGGTGATTTGTCAGAGCATGCCTTTTATATCTATGATTCCGTCCATGAGAGAGAAGCTGGCCCTTCATTTGAAGGGTTAGGTGGGGCCTGAGGAAACTTCTTTCATCTCTTGGCTCTGTGTGAGCTGCTCTTTGACAAGGAAAAAGCCCAAACCAGAGAAGCCATGAGCTTTCAACAGAGAATTTTGCCTCTCTTTAGACTAAGGAACTGCATTTACTTCAAAACCACTGCAGAAAAACACAAGAGCTAAAACTGGCTTGTCTTTTGGGCTTACTCTGCCCTATTGTCTGAAAACTCTGGCAGCACTTGGTTGCAGATGATGTGCTTTGTTTGTTTCCCCACTGAGACCACAAGACCTTCACAGGAGCTTTGAAGRCCTGGATTTAAATTCAGTGACCTTGGGAATCATTGTCCTTTCCAAGGTGGAAAAAACATGTGTTCTAACCAGCACTCATAGTAATACTAACTGGAAATTTTTTTTAAAAAGGAAATAAAAATCATAAAACCTGGGKTTTTTTTGAGGCGTTTTTAAATCCTGGGATAACTGAAAGTTAGCTGTAAAAACAAGCATTTTTACTATCTGGTCCTTTGAAAATTGCCCACAGTCCTTTTCATCTTAGCAAATTCCTCAACCTATTATTTTACCTACTGATTTGTAGATTTCCAGGAGTGTTTTCATTTTGTTCACTTYGCTGTGGAAGAGTCAGGAAATGGGGTAGTTACTGGAAAAGAAATGCTGAAATGAAGGTGGAAATGAAATCTCTGAATTACACTGTCTGACCTGCTMCGTGCAAACCAGAATAATCAAAACAGGTGAATTTAGGAAATTTTTACAGTGAACTTTCCAGCCTGCAAAGGGCACATATGTTCCTATCCATGCTGGCAGAAATTGGAGGACTAATACTTTTTTCAGTCAGGACTGTTTCACTTCTGTCATTTTAACTTGCAAATGTTTGGGATGTAATTGTGAAGAAAGTTTGGTGATGAGAGACGTTAAACAGAATGCATGGGAAAGGACAGGCTGCCATTTGAGTACCACAGCAAGCTGGGAGCAGTTTCTTCTGTTGCTCTTTGCTCACCCCCTTGTCAGTGTGCAGTATGCTCTTAGGATGCAAAGCACTTCAAGCACTCATTTTGTGGTGGAATGCTTGAAAAGAGTGAACTAGAAGTTATTTTGCCCAGTAGCTGAGCCTCTATGTAACTCACAGGTTTGTTACATTGGTGTTCAGACACCACCCTCCAGCACTCTYTTTCTAAAATAAAACTAGTCACAGGTATTTCCATCAGAGATTGTGAGATTTTCTGGTATTTTCTGGTATTGACTGCAGGGGAACCAGAGTTATTCTCATGCCAATGTGTCTGAGCAATCTGCAGATTTTAACAGAGTTCACATTTTTGTCTGGTCAGATACGGGGTTGCAGATCAAGGTCACATTTTCTACTTCTAGGACAACAGAAATCATCGCTTTCACTTTGAATTTCAGTCAAAACAGCTTAATAAATTCAGGAACATTTTCTGGGAGATTTTCAGCCTCAGCTTTCAAGCACTGAGGTTGTTTAAGAGTCTTCCAAAGTGAAACAGRACAAAAATTTGATCTGAAARCTGTGTGAGTTTTAACAAGCACTTTCTTTTTTTTTTTTTTTTTTTTTYTWCCTTTCCACAAAATGCAGGGAGGCTGCGAGAAGGTTGCTGTTTCCCAGTCTGGCACCTGGTCTGCCTGCTGAGGCCCCACATTCCTTGGCTCTCAGGGGAATGTGCACCCCTGGTTACTCACATRACATTCCCCCTTGTGGGGCTGATATGTTTCAATGCAGCAAAAAGAGAAATATAATCCATTTTTCTCCCTTTCAAGTTTTTTTGGCCTCATCTGTTCTGACCTGTATGGTCACAGGCAGGGATTAGGTGTGCACAATCCTTCCTTATCCTGGTCACCACTCAGTCTTGCCAAGACCCTTTCATCTCCAGATCTTGTCCTTTGTGAAAACAAAACTTTTCCTGGCTCAAATGCTTCTCAAGATACCTGTCAGTGACAACTTTGCTTGCTCCAGTGCCCTCTGTGTGCTGCAGAAGTACCTGTAGCCATTTGTGGTAGCAGAGAGAGAAAAGTTTTCATTATAATTACTTCTTAAATCTTCTGTGGCTTTGATTCCCAATAGATGGTATTTTTTACCCCTGGAGTTGCYGAGTGCTTTATATTTTGTATGTGTAAGTGTTCTGTGTTTTCAACAGCAAAAAATTCTCGTAAATCATTCCAAAGCAGGTTGGGAATGATTTATAACCATAATTAATGCTGGAATAAAAGACCACATACAGAAAAAAAGCAAAGAACATCTAGTGCAAGAGTACTGTTTGAACTGTTTGTCTTCTAACATTACTTCTCTATAAATACAGAATGGGTTAGTCATAATAATGACTTTTTACTCAAGGAACTTGGTCTAGTAACTGTTGGCTCCAGTTTACTGGAGTGAGAGCCTGTGTTCTTGMATTATACATTCATAATTCAAGCTGAGAGCTCTTTCCAGTTTCCTTTCACTCCACCTTGCTGTTTCCTGATTTACAATGATCTTCAAAACATGCCTCAAACACAAATCCTTCTGGGCATTGTGGAAAGAACTGTAGTGGGTAAACTTTCTCTCAAATTAATGCAGACTCACAATGTGAGGGGATGGTGGGGTTGGAGAGGGTTGAACAGAGAGATCAGAGAAAGCAGACCTCAGAGACAGAGAGGTAGATGTCAGGGAAAGTACAAGCATAAAGCAAAGTGAGTATGACCTAGAGATGGAGGGAAAGGAAGAGGGCAGAGGAGGAAATTTAAAAACCAAAAAGGAATAATTGSTATTTTTAAAGCAAAATGTAAAAGAAGGGAATGGTAGGATTCTGTCTTCAAGTATAAGAGAGAATTGTTCTTCATGCCCCATTTGTGCAGTAGTCATTGCTCAGCTTTCCTTATTTCTCAAAGATTGGCAGGACCTCCTACATTCCCCACCTATGGGTCCCCCATCCTACATTTGTGGAGTGAAACTCCTTCCTTCTAAAGATTACCTTCGCGCAGATGGGTTTTAGATCATTTTTGTTTATATTGCAAGCATACCTAAAAGCCACATCCAAGCCTGCAGTTGTGCTGCCCTGCCTTGTGCACAACCTCATTAAGAGCAGCCTATGTCTAGATGAGTTTTCAAGCAAAATGAAGGAACCAGATGTGCGTGTGTGGGGAAAGGGGAGGGCAGTGAAGAGACAGAGAACTGAAAGGAGGTGCCCAGGTCTTGCATCAGGCTCATGGCTGTGCTGGGATAGAGCCCACTGTTCCTTATCCAAAGGCTCAACCACCAAGCTAGGCTGCCTCCCTCATAATGACTTTTCTAGTGACATCTCTGGGCATGCAGAAACAGGAGGAGGAAAAGTAGGAAAATGCAGCAAGGAGATTATGCCTTAGAAGGGTTTATATAAAGGAAAAACAAATGGAATCCACTCCTGCCATTGCCTTTGCTAACCCTGTTTGGTTCAGATCTCTGTCTTTCCCTTTTGCTTTTGGTCTGTGAGACAATCTCTTTTGCTGTTCCAGAGGGCCAGTTCCTAAAGGCTGTGCATGATCATTAGGAAATGACAGTCATAATGTCCAAATTAACCAAAAAAAAGAAGAAAATATGCCTCTGAAGCATCTCAAGAGGTTGTAGTTGGTGGCTAAGGCTTGGATTGGAGGAGTTTGTAGTCAGTTTCTGGCTTTGCCATAGATAAGTGTGCCATTCCTGAAGTCACCATCCCTGGAAATGTTCAAGAAAGACCTGGACATGGCCCTCAGTACCATGGAGTAGGGTACAATGTAGTCAAAGGTCAGACTTGATGGTCTCGGAGATCTTTTCCAGCCCACATGATGCTGTGGTTCTGTGATTCTGCGATTCTGTGATTCTGTGAGTCTGTGCTGGGTATTTTGGGGCTAAAGTGAAATAATAAWTTGTTTTCAGGATTATGCCAAGGATAATTTCACTAGGGGATTATAGGGGTTGAGGTGACTTGCAGACAAGTATCACATAAAGATGCACAGACAGGAGAAAAATCTCCAGTCTAATGATCCACAACAGTGAAGCTCCAGGTGAAACATGTGGAACTCAGTCATTTCCCCAGTTGTCCTGGTTCCAGCCAGGACAGGGATCATTTTTTGCAGTAGCTGGGAGGTGGCATGGCCAGGACCCAGAGGTTACTCCATACCCCATCATGTCATTGCTGGGACAGGCRAGACTCATCCAGCCACTACAGTAGGGTCCATCGGTAGAGACATTCCCACAGGAATTTGACCATCAGTAAAGGTATCCTGTCCCRTTTACCATGGAGAACAAAGGTGGAAATGGATTTTCCACTGAGGTTAATCCATTTATGGYAGAGAAGTTGGCTTGATAGGAAAAGCTGCTGTACCTGTCGATCTGTAGCAAGTAAACTGAGCCTTCTGTGGCTTGGCTTGTTCCTGCCTTCATTCCTCCCTAAGTGCAGTGTGGGAGGAATGCAGTCCGGTGGTTACAGCACAGGCAAGTGCTTCATTTATTTGTGAAGCTTCTTCTACTAACAAAGAAATRAGTAAAATTAAACCAAGAAATATAACATGCAAGCCAAGAATGCTGGCATGTTATTAAGAAAATGGGCACTCTGTGCTCTGAAATGAAAAATAGCAGGCTCCTGAGCATGGCAAAGTGTAACAGTAGGGGCAAGCCCATCATTCTGCATGTCAGTGACT